CACACACACACAACACACACACACACACACACACACAACACACACACCACATATATATATATATATATATATATATATATATATATATATTATATATATAATATAATGTATATATGCATCCACACGCATCCCCCATACATTGCACCCCTCCCCTTGTGCCGCAGTGACGTCACCCAAACGTACCCTGTCATGACGTCAGGAACATCAAGAACTCGAACGCGCCCGCCGATGACGTCACAACCAAGACCGCGCTGGGCAATGACGTCAGCGAAGCTTAGCGGGAGGCAGTTGTAAATTATTGCTTCTCCTTCCTTTTATCATTCTCTCCCCATCTCCTTATTCGGAGGGGTTTTCTCCTCCTTTGTTTTGCACGAAGATACATATGCATGGCTTTGAAAGGAGTTGGAGAAAGGAATGAGAAAGAGGGATGGAGAACGAAATATATGAGAAAGACCGCAGATACTTAAGGCGCTGTCACACTAGCACTTTTTCCGTCATTTTTTTTTTGACAATTTTATTCAACATAAATACAAACATTCTCGAATATAACTCTTGATTTGACTTTGCTTGGCTGAAAAAGTTGACGGAAAGGTTTTCAGACGGAAACGATCATTATCGTCTGACTGGAAAATCGACAATTCGCTCAAAAATGGACAAAATTTCAGAAAAATTGTCAAAAAATTGACGGAAAAAGTGCTAGTGTGACAGCGCCTTTATGGGATAAAAGAGAAAGGTAATGAGGACATTTTGGATTAGAATTAAGAAAATGTCAATGAATTCTGAAACTGAACAACCGTATCTGGCAACAACAGGAATGTCAAAACTGTTTAATACTACTGAAAAAAACAATACAATTATCGAATTAAGCACCATAATAAAACGAACAATATATAAAAAACATTATAATTAAATGAATTAAGTACCATAATAAAACGAATAAAAACAACAGAGAAACCAACGACAACACAAAAATACAACTAATAATGACAACAACAAACAAGCTTTGACATATAAAAAAAAATTCAATTACAGTTTCCGTTTTAATAACAAAAGACGGGTCAATAAACAAAAGTCCCCCTCTATGCCTATGACACCCCCCCTCCCCCCTTAACCTCTCGCGACCCCCTCTCCCTCCCTTCCCCCTCAACACACGCGCAAACCCCTATGTCATGTCATGTCATGTCATTCGCCCGGAAGAAAGTTCCCTGCCAACGCCGTGCCAACTCCGACCATACGCCGTGACCCGTGACAACCCGCTCTTGAAGGGGAGGTCACGGGAGGGGGAGGGGGGGAGGATGAGGGGGAGGGGGGGAGGAGGGAAAGGGAGAAGAGAGGAGAGGAGGGGGAGGGGGAGGATGGAAGGGAGGGAGGAGAGGAGGGGAAAGGGTGGAAGAGGGAGGGGGAGGAGGAAGGAAAGGAGAGGGAGGAGGAAGGAGAAGAGAGGGAGAGGGAGGGGAGGGGAGGAGGAAGAAGAGAGGAGGAGGGAGGGTGAGGATGGAGGGAGAGGCGAGGAGAGGAGGATGGAAGGGAGAAGAGGAGAGGGAGGGGGAGGTAGAGGGAGAAGGAGGATGGAAGGGAGAAGAGAGGGGAAGAGAGGAGGGAGAGGAGTGGGGAGTGAGTGGGAGGGGACGCAGGAAGGGAGAAGAGAGGGGGAAGGGAGGGTATGCGACAGAGGAAGGGAGAAGGGGGGGAGGGGAGATCACTAAGGAAAGGAGGCAAAGGAAAGAAAGGGAGAAAGAGAGAGAGAGAGAACAGGAAAAGGGGTAGAGAGCATGGGGGAGGGGGGAGGGAGAGGACAGGGAGTATATATGTACACGATTTTTAAGAATATATTTTCGAGTCTATTTTCACACAAAAAAAATCTTAGTGGATTAACAGAGAATGTAAAAAAAAAAAAAAAAAAAAAAAAAAAAAAAAAAAAACACGTGGATTAACAGAGAAAGACCGTCAAATATGTATTTTACGAAAAACATACACTTCACAAATGAACGCACATATAAAAATAAAGGTTAGGAAAAAAAAGAGATTTATAGAAAAAAGGTCAAAGAAAGCTAGAAGTGAAATCACCATAAATGTGATATATATTCGTATCTCGAAAATATATAACGCACGTAAAAAAAAAATATATATTGCTCCGACTTTCGCATATATCAACTATTCTCTCTATTGACATATATCTACCAACTTCGGATCGTACCTTTGAACAGAAAAATCAAAATCAAAACACAAACAACAACAATCTTAACAGAAATGAGAAAAAAAAAAAAAAAAAAAAAAAAAAAAAAAAAAAAAAAATCTTGAGACCAAGACGTATTCCTTCCGGCAATTTCCCGCTAAAAATAGAAAAAAAAAAAAAAAAGAAAAAGAAAAAAAAGATGGAGAACGAAAACACTCGCCTCTGAAGACGCGTAATTGGCTGGGTGTAATTAGCGATAATCGTCACTTATATATGGCCATGCGCGTGCTCATTAACCTTAGCTATTTAGCGCTCTTTTACAACCCGCTCGTGGTTAGCCGTTTGCGCTAAGTAAGAGCGAACTGCGAATAGAAAACCGCTAGCTTTAAGAGTGACGTCGTCAACGAAACAAAACTAAATAAAAGCAAAAATACAGAATATAATAGCTTAGATAATTATAAGTGTGTTCTGCGCTTTTTTTTATAAGTTTATGAGCACTTAAACACTTGTTTTACCTATTTATAACTATCATTACTGGTGTTTGCAAAAGTGAACAACAATATAAGTTTTTTTTTTTTTTTGAGAATCAGTGAAATTGGCAACTATTACGATTTATTTTTGGTTCTCTTGACTCTTTTCTCTCTCTTTAAAGATCAGAGTTACTTTATCTCTCTCTCTCTTAGGATCAATTCTCTCTTCTCTCTCTCTCTCTCCTCTCTCTCTCTCTCTCTCTCTCTCTCTCTCTCTCTCTCTCTTCTCTCCTCTCTCTCTCTCTCTCTCTCTCTCTCTCTCTCTAAAGATCAGTTACTTTATCTTCCATCCCCCCTCTCTCTTTCTCTCTTATTTCTCGAATTCCTCAACATCTGTCTCTCTCTCTCTCTCTCCTCCGTTCTCTCCATCAAATCTTCATCATTGCTTTTCTCTTGCATCTCCCATTCCTCCCTTTATCGAACATTTTCCCCACTCCCTATTCCTTTGACATTATCCCTCTCTCTATATATAAAAGATCCAAAACATTTCATCATGATTTCTCTCTTTTTTTTTTGTCCGCGAAGGTAAAGAAAAAAAATAATCTCCATTTTCTCCTTGGCTCCGTCATCATCAGTTATTACGCCTCTTTTTCCCCCGCTCTCTTCATTTCCTGCGTCCTCTTTTCTCCTCTTTGTTTCTCTCCTGACATTCTTCCGTCTCACTTCCTACTCTTTTTCTTTGCACTATCTTCGAATCCTCATGTTTTTTTTCCCTTCTCCTTCTCTTTCTCCTTCTTTAACCAGTCTTTCTCTCTCTCTTTTTTTTTCTTCAAACTCCTAAACACTTATCCTCCCCCCTCCCCCTCCCCCCCCCCTCCCCCCCACGCACCGTCTTTTGTTTATTGAAACTGAAACTGTAATTGAATATCTTTTTATTTTTTTATCAAATCTATTTTGATATGTTATTATCCATTTTATGACTTCCGTTTCTTCTTTTTTGCTTGCAGCTCTTAGCTTTCTCGAATCATTATTATTACTCTTTTTTCAAATTAGCGGGAAATAATACTGAGATACGTTAGTGAACGTAATGCTATTACTCTCATGTTATATTTATATACGTATTTTCTTCATAAGCCTTCATCGTGCATATGTATATATTTCCACATGAATATAACCCAACAACCAGATAATATATTTGTGTGTGTGTGTGTGTGTGTGTGTGTGGTGTGTGTGTGTGTGTGTGTGTGTGTGTGTGTGTGTGTGTGTGTGTGTGTGTGTGATGTGTGTGTGTGTGTGTTGTGAGAGGAGAGAGAGAGAGACGAGATAGAGAGAGAGAGAAGAAGAGAGAGAAGAGAGAGAGAGAGAGAGATAGAGATTGAGAGAGAGGAGAGAGAAACGAGAAAGACGAAAGCGAGAAGAGAAAGAGAAAGAGAAAGAGAAAGAGAATGAGAAAAAGAAAGAGAAAGAGAGAAAATGAAGAAAGAAAAAAAGAAAGAAAGAAAGAAGAAAGAAAGAAAGAAAGGTAAGAAAGAGAGAACGGTCAGACAATCCACCTTAAGACCAACACACTTTCTTCCCCCAATTTGCAGCGAAGCAACCCATTTCGAACCTTGCCAGAACCTTCGCCTCCTTTCAATCATACACAACTAACCCATTTCCTTTTGCTTTTCGGATTTTTTCAGGTCTCTTAAACAGTAAATCCTCACGAGAAACGCGTGAAATTCACCTTGTGTTTCTGCGACACGAGAGAAAGAAAAATTGTACGTAAAATGAAAGAAGAAAAAAAATGACAGGAAGAAGGTATGTACAATGTAAAAAAAAAGAAAAAAGAAAGAAAAGACAGAAGAATAGTTTTTTTTTTTCATTTCTTTTATCTCTTTATCTTTTCACTTATCGTCTTGAAATATATAAAAAAAAAAAAAAAAAATCGTAATCAGTAATATATCTAATCCCAAAAAACACGTGATAAACATACTGATAATAGAAGCGTGTAAATTGATATTTAAATTGATGAATTAAATGCATGGTAATACAAATAATTAGTAAATCAGTGAATTGAGAGTGTAAACAAAACAAATGAATAAATTAATTCCAAATCGGAATAAAATAACAGAATAAGTAAACAAAGACTAAACAAGAAAAAACATCTAAAAAAAAAAATAAATGAATAAGAAAAAAAAACAAGCGGATAACAAAACAAAATAGATAAACCGAATGAAACAAAACGAACGTAAAAAAAAAAAAAACGAATCAAAGCGAATAAGAACACGTCAAAATGAGAGATTAGCCCCCTTCCCCCCTCCCCCACCCCCTGAAATCCGCTCACCACCGCCCTTTGCCTCAGCCCTCGTCAG